AGCTTAATGCATTTTTACCTTGTAATTCCTGATTTAAAAATATATCTCATCGAATGAATTTAAACATGCTCTACATACATGTTAATATAAATTATGTAAAATTTGTTTTTAATTGCTGGCAATACAGATTTTATTACTTTTATGCTAATTTTATAATGGTCTAAATACAAAATATAACTAAAATATGATCCTAAAAATTAAGGGCAATGTGTGATGAGCGGAATATAGCTATTTAACAGTTAAATTTGATTAATTAATGTATTCATAATGTTCGTTATTTGATTTTCTTGGTTGCTATTGCAGAAATGTTAGAAATTTAACCACATTGTCCGGCAGAACAAATTGCTCGGGAGTAAAATATTCTTTTTCTGGAAGTGAAAAATCTGGTTGTTGAGTTCGATTTTTACTCTCCGCCATGTGTGTATTTAAGCGGGTATTGTCACTTTCCAAACTATAAATGGAGTAATGCGCGAAAAAAAAATTTCAAGCATACCTAATATCGACACCATTCGATTCACTAATCCTGTTTTTAATATCTCGGGATTTGCTAATCCTTCCCTAAAATTTGTTGGGAAATTCTCGCATCAGTAATTTCGATATTAGTAAAATCCTGGATATACAAACACTACGACTTGGGCACTCCGTAATGCTCACTTTTAAAATGAAGGCATTTATTTGTCAGCTTTAGCCATTATGAGCGAGTTTACTTTCTAATAGAATCACAAGATGAAACGATGGTTTTATTCTAGTTAACTTTCATAAATTGAGAGTCCAAATTTGAATCCGGAGACATTATGTCAATAAAAGACTCGTCCCGCGGTTCTCTGATAGATATTTTATCTCAAATGGCTGACTTTTTATCATAATTTACATTTTTCCTCTTTTCATCCTATGGGCACTTAAAAGAATATCTTACGAATCCCATCGTGGATTTGGCCGGCTCACAATGGGAGCAACCGGGTGCTGAGGGTTAGTTTGGTTTGGTTTGTTAAGTTATGACAACGCAACACTTGGATCTAGAGGAGAATGCTTTCCGGGAGGTCTTTTTAAGGGTAATTGGCCCCTATTCAGGAGTTACAGATGTAGAGAAAACCCGGAAAACTCCACGTAGCCAGCCCGTCCTGGCGAGGCACGAACCCACGACCAAACTCCCAGTGTTCAGGAAACGGAACCGCTTGGCCACTGGTGAGCGGGTGCTGAGGGACCCTCCCACAAACATTTCCTGATGAGTTTCTGGTCCTGGATTCGATTCCGGCTTCCTCAAAGCATTAAGCCGGTGCCTTTATCGCTTCAGCCATCCGACCGTAAGTTATACATTTCGTGTTCAAGGAAAGTAATCAATAAATGGTTATATTTCTCAGCATTTTTATTCTTCTTTACTTTAGTTTATATTAACTTAAACATAATTATATATATATATTGAAGAGTAAAGTATAAATATATCACATAATTATGTTTATGTAGGAAGTGTTAAACAATAGACTCCTGTCTTCACGACTGTCGACTTTATAGCACAGACTTTTGAAGTTGGGAGAGATATTTTACAATTACGTCTGTACAAAATGCCATATTTAAGTGTCATATTTCGTTTGGTCGTCCTTGTGAAGTGTTACATTGTTATAATCGTTTCTAAGGGCGTAATGTTTTAAGTAACTAATGCAAAGGAAATATAACTACTCGTTGTACGTGTTTTATTAAAATTATGTGTTTTTTCAATGTTAAAACAATAAATAAATAATTTTTGAATATTTATAATATGATTTACATATGATAAAAATTTATAACTTTATGTCTTATGATTCATTTAATTAATTAATTAATTAATTAAAAATATTTTAAAAATGATTCATAAATCGATAAGACGTCTTTTTTAATATTTATTTATACATTTAAATTAAAGATTATCAACGAGATAGATCGTTGAAGATTACCTATAATTTTATAAAAATACTTTTTAATTTTTAGCAGGCCCCTACTGTGGTTAGGTTTACAAAAAGAAATCGAAAATTCAAAGATGATGATTTATTTTAACTGATTTATTATTATAATTATTGTTATAAAATGTTCTAAAAATTATTTAAAATTTTAAAATGCATCTAGCATAAAATTATGCCATAAAAACTGCGATCAAGTCTCGTAAATACTGCAAATTTGACCATTCATCAAAGCAATTAACTTCATACAAATGAATTTCTCATCCTCGTTCTTACACATCAATTATGCAAATGACTTAAACCCCCGCAGCGAGAAGTTGTATATAACGTAATGGCCTAATTATAATTCAACTACACAATCGGATTTCAAAACATCATTATATTATGTTACTTATCAATAAAAAATCTCCCACCCACCGCTGGTTGGGAAAGAAAAATTTCACAGAAAACATAAAGATGAATGTAAGTTTATACGTAGGCCTACAGAGGCAATTTCCTTCCTGAGTGTTGAATACAAAATGAAAGTAACTTGTAGAGAAAGATGAAGGTCACGAAGTTATGGTAATTAAGCATCTATACAAGAAGTTACTATTGTGAATAGTTGTTACTAAGAAGCACATGAGTCATAGAGAATTTATACCAGAGGAAACGATGGCGAATTGTTTGAAATTTCGTGAAAATTCGGTGATATTATAGAATTATATTAAATTATAGATTTATAGCCCAAAGATTGCTCATAAAAGCGTACGTATTTGGCATGACTCGGCCGTTTTTCCGGATCATCCTGGCCTTAGACATGTAAATTTGCATGCCATGTTGCAAGAGCACATTTTATTACAGGTGCATCCGAATTCTGTAGAAATGATTCGCATGTTGTTTCGAGGAATTCAATTGCATTGTTTTGTGTTTTCAGAATCATGATTAACGATTTGTCTTGAAGTAATTAAAACTTAAAACAAGAGAAACTCGCAATATTTATCGTTTGAATCCATAAAATTTAATTTAGTAGATTTTCACTATTCACGCTGACGAATATAAAAGCGTATGGATATTTTTTACATTTAACTGTATCGAATTTCAAGATTTAACCATTTAACTCTACATTCTTCTCGGGGGGGGGGGTCAATCGAATGTTGAATAGCAATAAACTGGATTGGAAATAGGGCAATCCAATGCCAACTGTGGGCGATCTGCCAAGGAGGATCCACCCGAGAGGATCCACCCGAGAGGATCCACGTATCTAACAACTGCTTTCCACGGGAAATTAGTTCGGTGTTAGATACGTGTAGAGATCTTGGAAAACTTCACGTGGAAAGCTCGTTGGTGGGACTCGAACCCGCGACAAGTACTCAGTGATTATATCCACTCGGACACTAGTGGGCAGCAGCATAATTGAGTTTGTTCGTTAAGTTATGGCAACGCAACACTTGGGCGATCTGCCTAGGGAATGCCTTCTAGGAAGTATTTTAAGGGAAACTGGACCCTATTTAGGCGTTACAGACGTGGAGAAAACTTCACGTGGCATGGCCAGCCGGTCCGAGCGCGGCGCGAAGTCACAACTGAACTCCCAGTGTTCAAGGTACGAAGACCACTTGGCCACTGGTGGGCCGGCATAACTAAGTGAATGAGGAAGAACACGACCCGGGTGTCGACCTCGGAGGAGCCAAAATGAGCCCCTAAAATTAAAATCACAGAGAATTTTTTAGTAATCAGGGGCGCCAGATGCAAGATTTGCCTTGTGCACCAAAAGTGTTCGGCACGGCACAAACCGGTGGATCGGTAATTAATTGGATTGTGTGCGTTTTTTCAAGTCTTTCACACTAAAAATATATGTAATCGGCATAATATTTCAGAGCAACACCGTCTATAAGTACAGAAATCTCCTATATAAAGTATTTCATTGAGTCGCTTTATCGTAATCTTTTAGAAGAGACCATGAAGACCCGTGTTGAAAATTCTATCCAGATAAAATTTCTACGCTATTTTTCTTTATTTTTCAAAGTAACAATGAACCCAATTATCTTTAAATATTCAAATTTCATTCCAAAATGTTTAGCCCAGTTGTGATATATTAAAGTCTGGCGGATGCTTTTAACAATAAGAAATGATAGGAAATTTCGTAAAAAATGTTACAACTTCGAAAAATGATCGTACAGCAATACATTTTGCAATGTTTCTCGCGAAATTCTAATGCAAATTTTGTGAAAAACACGAGATATTTCGAATTATATATAATTAAATACACAGAGTTAGAGATGAGGAGTGTTAACCGGGAAGCTTCATTCGTGATTTTTAAGGAAATAATTGCCAAAATTAAGATGGGCCAAATACGAAACGAATTAAATTAATGCATAAAAACGTACAAAAATAATAACGAATATTACCGACAATTTTTAAAGATTAATAAACAAAGTTGTGATGAAAGAATGATGCAATTCGCACTTTAATGCGTTTCGTAAGCAAAAATTAGTAATTAAAAGCTATGTAATTAGCTAATTAAGCAAGATGTAACGTCGTTAATAAATACATTTAATATATTTATGCTATTTATAAATTATAATTGTATTTAATAGGTTCAAAAGTATCTTGTAGTAAGAACGATTCTATTGATAATAGATGAAACTATATAAGACTTTTTCGAGCGATTTCTTTACGTGTTGCAACTTTCAGAGAAATTTATTCTCTTGCTTTAATATTTAACTTTATTGATATAATGAAAGTACTCTTTAAAGGTGTCCGGAATAATTGCAGAATCCAGGAAACCATCAATTGAGTAATGAAATGATCAGGCAGACATTTTAGCTTTATAAAACGCAAAAAGGCCAAAGAATTAAATTAATTCCAAATCCTCTCATTGTAAACACCCCATACTTAAATGCAAGAAGAGCATTACTTCAATTTGAACTTTGACCTGGCAGAATGGCAAAGCAGTTGACCTTACCAAGATGCCAGAATTCGGAATTGTAATATACGATACTATAAATTGTTTAACAATTCGTCATTATATATCGATAAAGTGTGGATTTTCGGACACGAAACAACAAGTATAAAAGCAATTTAATTACAAAGAAACACAAAATATAATTGTTTTTATTATTTCTTTTAATAAAAATAACAATTAATTATTCGTACGTATGCAAACTACTACAGAAACAAAGTTATAATAAAATACTATCGATACTTTAATACTGTACGTGTGTCGGCACGAACCCGTTTAATATTAAAAAAAGAAAAAAATAAAAACTGTTACATAAAAATAAGGTAAACCTGCGTATCGAACAACGATAATTTATTTAAATGGTATTTTTTTTTAAAAAAATGAGATTTGTGTCTTCTTTTATGACTCGTAGTGCTCTTCTTCTTGTACTTCTTTGACGATTGTTACGACGACAGAATAGAATTTCTGCCATGCTTCTTTGTGACTTGTAAACTTTGATCCTAATTTCTCTTCCATAAAAGAAATAATACTCTCTCCCAAACTCTGAAAAAAAATCGTTTTAAGTTAACGTTTTTATAATTATTCATTTATTGTGTTTAGAATATTGGAGAATTATACGTAAAAAAAGTTGAGTAAAGTATAAAGAATAGGGAATATAATTTATAGTTGATGTTATAGTTTAAACGTCATTAAAAAAAATTAAGTTATATCATTTATAATCGATATATTAATTTATTAATAATGTGAGCTGGAAGGCGAGGAGCTAACTAATTTCATTTGTTGATTTTGTTTCTCCTTAATTTAAGGATAATTGACTTATAAAGCGCGTTACTCTGGTAAGCCAATCGTGTAAAAGCACTAATCCTACCTTTTGTTAAAGAATAAAAGAAAATTAAATTAGTACAACTCGCGCGTGACTAGTTCCAGAGTGTCACAAATTCGATAATCCAATACAGGTAAAAAAAAATTACGAGTTATAGCAACAAAATATACGTTATGGTTTTAAAAAACGGCTATTACGGCAGAAAAGTCATTAATTTCGGTAGAGAAACTATATGTTATCGCAGAAAAGCTGTCTGTTACGCTATAACAGAAAGATGTGCTTTACGGTAGCAAAACTACATGTAATAGTATAAAATGCTATACATCACCGCAAAAATGAAAAATTACCCTATTCGTTACACTTATTTACAATGAAAATACATACTACAGGAGAAAAGCTGTTACGTTAAACATAATCCGTTACAATAAAAAATTGTTTGTTACGCTAATTTATTGTCTTATGGTCTTAATTTATTAAAAATTTGTCACGTTCAGTACATTTTTTCTATTCAATAATCAAAATAATCGAATTGTTACGGTTAAAAATTGTCAGTTCTTCAACAATTGTGCACGTAACAATAAAAAATAGAAAATTGTCCGTTTCTGCAACATTAATATTAATGTAATAAACAATTCGTTTAAATTTTTTAAAAGAATAAACATTTAAAAAAAATTAATTTATTAACGATAAAAAGTTGGCGTAACAGCGAATTCGTTCGTTTAAATATGACATAACACGCTTTAACCGTTATAAAAGTTGCATCCGTTTCGTGTCATTGTTACGACGAAATGTGGTAAAAATAAAGAGTTACGTTAAATGGATGCAAGCGTAACCACTTCCCAAAAATCGGATTTAAAATAATGATTAATAGAATTACTGGACGATCTTTTCACCTGTATACAGACCATGATCGTTTCATCAATCTGTCAGCTGTCTGGATTGATACAAAAGAACGTAATATCATTTGCTTATAAACTTCAAATTATTGATATTTCTAAAAAAATCTAACGCAAAAAAGTCTATTTTTTAGGGGTGATCGAACACCCGTTGACCTTCTATAAACTAATGCCATTGTTCTAAATTACCATTATTTCCGTCTACGTTACGCACAACTTCCTTCATTTAACAGTTTCTTATCCTTAAATTTCAAATTGTACAGAAGATTACACGCCGATAAATGCAAATTTTTACTGCCAAAATGGTTACTTTTATACAACAGAAAGAGCTATCGAATCGTAACGTGTTAAAGTTAGACACAATATTTTCCGTGATCTTTATATATTTTTAATATAAATCCTTAATTATAAATAAGGAGCAGTTACTTTCTAAGCATAATCGACTGTTGTTACTTCAAATTCATTTAAAAATTGGCATAATTAGCACGTTACGGTCGAAATAAATTGATATTTATAAACACAAGAGTAAGAGCCACTTGGGAAATGAAACGAATTAATTAACGAGAGACGTTTAATGTAATTGACACTTTACGGATAAAATTTACAATTAAATGCATTTTTAAAAAATTGCAATCGTAATTGATTTATTTGCGTTTTTTTGTTTTACACGTAACAATTAAAAAAAACCCAAAATGCGTCAGCGTAATCGATTAATTAAAGATAAAATGCAAAAATTGAAAGAAAAAATAATAAATTTTTGAAGTTTTTACAGTTATTTTTTAAAAATTTCTTTACTTTCATCATAAAATAAGCTAGTGAAATTGAAATTTTAAATTATATAGTCGAACCTCCGAACAACGGACACGGCAGAAAAATTAAAATGTCCGCCGTATAGTAGTGGCACTTATTGCAGTTTCGACTGTATTACTGTAAAACGTATTTAAAATCATTTGTGTGTTTTTTTTTAATAATAAATTTGTAAAAAAAAAAATATCGATAATAAATTACAAAAAATAACTGCCAAAAATTAAATATATTTATATTAAAATAATTAATTAAATATTTTAAAAATTTATTTTGTATTTTATTTCGAATCTGTCAATTACACTAACGCGTGTTGCATTTTTTAATTGTTAAACCCCAACTAAAAAAACGCAAAGAAATCGATTACATTTGCCATTTTTTAAAAATGCATTTCAATTTTTCAATTTCGGTCGAAAGGTGTCGATTACATCAAACATTTCACGTTAATTAATCCGTTTCGTTTCCCACGTGGCCCTACTAACTCTGGCGGCCGTAAATTTTAATGCATTTCGATTATAAAAAAAAACACTAATGCGCATCAAAACACTTACTAAATGAACAGTAAAGGGCAACGACCCTAGAATTAAATTCGTTGGCGAATTTAGCTGTATTAAAACACCGAACGAAGTATGAAAGAAAACACGTGTTGCTCTACAGTTATAAAAATATCCAGGCGTAACTCCATCCCCGAACGACATACCCCGAACTTTTAGCATTATAACGAAAGTAAATTACACATAAATTAATTAAATTCGACACTAATTAGTCCTCCGGGGTGCTATTTTCGGAAAATTCGCAAACGGCGCCATACCCCGGCTTTGTTTATGCACGAGGAAGGCATTAAATGTTATGGTAGAGATAGTAATGAATTTTAAACTATCGCGTTACGGGAAGACGGTGTTTTTTAAGTAAACAAATGCGACTTTATGGTGTTAGGGGTGTGCCAGTGTACTTGTGTGTGATTTTTTTCAGTTTTATACACATTAAATGCGACTTACACTGAAGTGTTTATCGTCGACCTTACGCCTCAGATGGTTGTGTGCTATTTTTATCACCATCTCCTTCAGACACTCCACGTCGTCCAGAGAGTCCACCAATGAGGATATGGAGTACAACACCGAAGAGGCGTGGGCCATCAGCTTCTTATTTTTTGGTAATTCTGACAACGGCACGTCAGCGAACGAAGTGAAAACCTTTTGATGATCGGGATTCGTTTTGAAGAACCTAAATGAAAAAAATAAAAAATCCCTAAGAGACTCGTTCGATAATAATACAATTAACAATCTAATTAGCGTTAACACACGTTTGTTTCCAATTCAGTTGTTGTAAATATATTACACGAATGATTACACTGAACTTAGTTTCTAATTATATTCTACTAATTTTGAAAATCTACAATGATTATGGTGTAATTATCGTTTGTAATAGAAGTTTTAAGGCAAAATTGCATGCGTTTTTTGCTATAAAAACAAGCATTTTCGCCACTTTTTAAAGTGTAAACACGCAAAAATAAAAAGTTAATATATATGAAATTTCAATGTTTAAGATGCTCAGAACGATTTCCTCCACTTAAAACGGGGGTTGCTATAGATTAAATAAGGTTAATCTGCCCATTAAACCTTACTTAGGAACCTGGACGAGTAAATTTGTAATTAATTTACGCAATATTTCTATAAATAACGTTACTTATACTGTTAAAATTGAAGACGTAAGGTGTCTTTCGTAACGTAAACATAATTTTTTTATGTCAGAAAATTATTTAAAGAGCAGGAAAAGTAGAATGATATACATTACAACTGCTTGTTTCCTCACTTATCTACATTACAGGAAAAAATATTAAATACAGGAAACGATTATTACTTCATTTCTTTCAAATTTACTCTTTTCTACGTCCAAAATAATTTTCTTTTTTTAATTTTTACTATGATAAATGGCTCGTTTCCGCTCCTTGTATTATATCCACCGTATTAATTAAGCTATTGTCTTCACAGAACTAAAGGTGGTTTGCGGAGATTGTGCTAGAAAATGTCTGAAACCGGTTAATTTGCATATGTAAACAATTTTATTTCTGTAACCGGCCTAGTTACATAATATAATTAATTCTGTTACTCCTGAAACGAACTTATATAAACACGTGACTCTGGTGCTTCTGAAATCGAAACCTTTCTAAAAAAACACGTGATTCGGTGCTCCTGAAACCGAAACCTTTTTATAGACACGTGATCCGGTGCTTCTGAAATGAACACGTTTATATAAATACGTAATTATACGGCGCCCGAAATTAACACATTTATAGAGGCATGTGGCTATGACATTTCTGAAACGAATATAATATAAACACGTACTTCCGCTATCCTTGAATAAATTTACTGTTTTTGAACGAGCATATTTATACAGGAAATGCTCCTTAAAAGAAAATATCACCATAAACGACAATTTTTTTGCATAAAACCGCTCGTAAATAATGCAAAATAATATGAATTATGAATTAAAAAAACAACCTCTTCAAAACAAATTTAGAGGGGAGAAGTGTATAATTTAGCCATCACCGTTTAATGTATTTAAATCCGATACATTTAAAAGGGGGGGGTGGTTAATTTCCTCGAATCTTATAAAAAGCATTCTTTATCTAACAAGTGGGATTAATTTCTCATCTTGCTGAGATCATATGGTATTTTCTACCCACTGTTTACACGACCTTGAAAACTAGGATAAGGAGAAAAGGGGAAGAGAAATTTAGTAGAAACGGCGCTCGGACTTATTAAAAAAAACCCTCAAAATATCCTTGAATTAGTTTATTTTTGATCCCCGATATCTAGCAATTGTAATTTTAGTAGTACGCTGTTGACTAGCAACTGCTTAGGATTGTTTCTACACAATTTGGGGGCTTTTAAGGGGATGGAAAACGTTCCGTGGTATATAAAACTCATTATGACGTTGCGTGAGTGGATAAAAGTAGAGAACGATCACATTGTTCGAGCCTTGGAGTCACAATTTTACGTCAAACAATACGAGTATGCCAACTATTCGTGATTATTACACCAATCAAGACGTTATAAAGGGGGAGAAAAAAACCTGTATATAAGAGTCAAGGCTAAGCTATGAATATTAATCGAATAAAAATATTTCCTTCTTTGATTCGTTTATAGAAGCAAGCTGAATTGTTTATAAATTACGTTTAAATTGTTAAATTAAGATGAAACTACAACCAAATAAGGGCAAGATGTGCACTCGAATACACTACACACCTATTATTGTTACTTTAAACAGGTGGTTAATTATCTCGATGATAAGATCATTAAACAAACACAGTATATAGAGTTAAAGGGGTGTAAATATTGATGTTACGCGCGCTCGTCACGCAAAATTCGCGCGGAAAATCGATTAAGTTGAGTGTTCGAGTTAAATTTTAGTGTGTAAAACACCTTAAAATTCGATTTACTCTGCGGGAGAAGTCAAAATAAACATCTTTAAGAAGGGGATGCTTAGCATAAGTGGAAACAGTTGTATTGTTAATTTTCAAAAATTAGTTGTGCGAGGGTCCCCATGGGTGTCATTGAGATTCTGTACGTAGTGTGTGTGTCAATTTTACTGCTGGTGTATTGAGAACAAGGAAAAGTGAGGCACTAACTTAACTTATATAAAGTTGGAGAATTAACTTACATGATAAACAGGGCGACTCCGTTCTTTGGTATGTCTTTTCTGACGATATCCCATGTATATTTGATGCCATCTTTCTCCTTTTTAGTCAATCCAGTTGCAGGATCTACGGAATCTGCGCTCGTGTCAGATTTCGACACTAGCAACGTGCTCCAGCTACTTCCCATCACACTACTTTTAACTACTTTTAAGACAAACAAATATATGGAAAAATCAAGCTTGTCCCTCTCTTCGACTGATCCTTAATTATTTTTCTCATTTATACTGTCGATGGTTTAAAACAACTATTGTACGATACGAAATTCTGCGTCACAATATCCTTAAACCAATAAATAAAGAGAATCGGTGTGACGTAACGGAGGATAGCTACCACGCCTCCGTATGAGAGTTTTCTCTTCTGTGACGACACACTTAAACGGCATAAACAGGGCGCGAGCTGGTGTGACGTTTTTTAAATATTCCAATAGCACAAATAAGGCATTGTTACGCAATTATCTCAAACGTGATATTTTTAATCGAAAACTTTGATTTATCACGTGGGGTCTGTTTATTTACTTTTAAATTGCTCGTATTTTCAAATATATATTTAAGTTACTAATTAAATAAAGAGAGAAGATAATTTCTATTACAAAATATCGAATTTTACGTGATAATTTACTGGAAAATAATAAATTTAACGTTTTAACAGTGGAAGGAATTAATAAATGATCATAATAAAAATTGCATAACTATGTTAATTTTCCTCGTATCTAACTCATAAATAATCAAATAATTCACGTTTTTACTTAACAAAATTAATATTTTTATTAATATATCAGCTTACATGTTAAAATGTTGGAAAATTTGTAAAGTTTTAACATAAATCAAGTTAAATTCTAAGAAAATATGATTTAAAAATGTAAATTTTAAGTTAAATTAAAATTTTCTATCTATCTATATTCTGTTTATGGCGTCTGACATCACCTTCCGATCTCCAGGAACCCTCTCCATCCATACACAATTCCTCTTTAATCTCTTTTTCACTACACGCTAACTTTACTCCGTCCTACCAAGTTTGTCTGAGTCTTCCTCTCTTTTTTGTGAATTGTATTCCATTGACATTTTCGGGAGTCTCTCGTCACTCATTCTTTTCACATGTCCAAATCATATAAGTTGTTTCCTCTTTATTTCTTCCAAAACCGTCTCCTTCAATCCCATTAAGTCTTTGATTCTCTCATTAAATTTAATGAGGGAATCAAAGACCTAATGGGATTGAAGGAAATTTGTTAAATTAAATTTTAATAGTAGTAAATGCATATTTTACTGTCAAAGCACACTGTAATTCTGATCATGAAATTTTCTTGGTCTTAATTTATACTTCTTATCACTTATAATAATAATAATAAACCCGGATAATGACAAATAAAAAGGCTCTAGTTTGAAAAAAATATTCATTTTTGATGATATTTAAATGCAAAACATGCTCTAGAATTGATGGAATTAGATTGATGACGATGTGTGGATTTTGAAATAGATTTTTAATAATCAAAATTTGTTATTTTGGCAATTCTAATGATGTTCTTTAACGGTATCCAATTAACAATGCATTCTAGATTTACTGCCAAGGTTTCTTTAATTTAATGTATGTTATTAAATAAGGTACAAGGTTAAATAATCTCATTAACTGTTACAACAACTCAGGTATCACCACAAAATCTTTACATTTTTTTGGAGTTATCAATTATGTTTCTGTGTTAATTAAGATCTTAAATGATGATAAAAATAATTAAATTATTACCTTATCTTGACCAGTTACTACCCGAAAAAACTGCTTTTTTGGGTGATACCGGAGAGCCGAGTCATAAAATATGTAATCGCCACCACTAAAGAGAGACTCTGTAATAATTAGAACTGTTTATAACTGGATTTTTTAAAAAGCAGTTTTTGAGGTTAAATTTCTCTACTTTTAAAATGAGTTAAGCAATGTTCCTTGATGTTAAATTAAGTAAAAACCGTCCACTTCTTGTTTATAATTTGTTACGAAACTTAATGTTAATTTCCATTTTTATTAATTAATAATTATGACTATCAAATTAGAATTACATTAAATATATTTACTCAACAATAAATTGAACGTACACAGTTAGAATATGGATATTTTATGAGACGGAAACACCCAGATATTCATTTTATTATACAAATTTTTAAAATTTACAGAATGTGTGTGTGAATGTGTATATTACATTTCATATATATGTGTATATTACATTCCCATATATATATATGAAATTAATCATAACAAATTACTCTGTATAAAAAAATATTCTTTTGTTCAATTATACAAAATTACAACTTTGCCTAACAGTTTAAAAACTTCTGTTTACATTTATAAATATCACAATATAAATAATTTATAGTTTACAAGAAATTATTAAAAGTATAAAATTGTTATTTACAAACTGATTTTTTCTGTGATGATGTCGCTTCTCCTTTCAGAGAAATTTTGATGTCGTAATTCAGTTCGGTATGAACTAACAAGACGTCATTGTAGATACCTTCAGATGTCGGCTGAAAGCTGACCGGAATGTTCATGTAATGCTTACCCCTGCAAATATTAATTTAAAAATCATTTAAAGTCTGGTTAAAATCTTTTATAATCCAAATTCCATCTTTAATACACAAAATCATTATATTGAATCACTTATATAACTAAATAAAGTATATATAACTTATATAAAGCATAAAACTCAACTCAAAATCTGGAAATGAGGCACATTAAAATAACAAAAATACTTGAATCTAATGTGGATGTCTCGGATTGAACTCTTTAAATACTCTTTAACAAGTGTATTCTTGAGAAAATTAACATTAAAATAAAGAGTAGTGAAGTTCAAAAATGTCGTATTTCACAATTGGCAACCAACTTGGTAGGCCAATAACATTAACAAAGTTCAGATAGTTTGTATTTCCCGTTCTTGTCCATCGACAAATTGATGAGTTGTTGGCTAGAAGTAGCCTTCTTCCGGTGGTTGAAGAACACACAGTAAGACGAATCAGACTTGACTCGAACTTTGATGCACACTTGAAGATCTATGAAGTACTTGATGTCAACTTGAAGCTCCGCAGTGAACTTAAATCTCCCGCTTCGACATTAACCTTTTATAGCCATCAACAGTGGGTTGGACGACCAATCAGCGATTACTTGGCCGTAGCCCTGTGCAAATATGCAGTATGGTGTGATTCTCGACCAGTTCAAGAAAAGGTGGGAATCGTGTTCTTACACGATCCTACCTGACAAAAGTATTCAGATTTAATTTAGAAACATGAAGTAAGATAATAAAGTATCCAAAAAGATGAGTTATAATAAATCCAAATTTAATCCCCAATAAACGTTGAGTCTGTGATTAACTATAAATATATCATTTTTGAGTAAAATTATTAATGGCATTATTTTAATAAGTAAATTGTGTAAATGAAAAACAATGTGCCACAACAAGCTGTTAAGATGTTTTGATGTATTAATTATGGAGAATTTGGCAATTTATTAATATATTTTAATCAAATTGCTTTATAATTAAAATGAACATTTTGCTTACTTGACTATCAAGTTACTATACTTGACAAAAAATGGCGAATTTGGTGCAATTAGAGAGATCTGAAATGTAAAATGAGTAGTTTAATTTTATGTCAATAAAGTAGCAAATTATCTATCTGAGATATTGTACAATCTATCTTAATTAAGACAAATGTATAATCATGTCACTAATTTTATAGTAAAAAACTGGGACAGTAAATAAAAAGCTAATTACACTTACAATATATTATTAGTCATTATTTATTGTGAGTGGCATCTATTAATATATACAAGATGATGAATTAATTGCAATCAATCACTTACACAATAAATTACAATAAAAAAAATTATGATGCAAAATTTATGACAGTCAATTGGCATTAATTGTTTATAGCTAAAGCAAATTTATCTAACTTTATATTATTTACAAAAGAATATTTTGCTATGTATACCCATGCAGAGATAACATTACCTTATGATCTTCTTCTGCAACATTTTTCAGCTTTATTTTCACACTCGCACTCTCCCCGAATGTAACTAACGGAAAGTCTATCTGCTTAACTGTCGAAAAAATAGGTCTGCCACAAAACTGTTTGCCGTTCTCTATTGCAGAATGCCTGTTATGCAAAAGAGTATAAACTAAATTGAAACAAATTTATCATTATTATTTTTTCTTTAAGTAAAATTTTACATAACTAACTTCTTTCTGGTGCTGAACTCGTGTTTAGTAGTAGAGCCAGATTGATTACTTTTATGTCTCTCTTCTGTCACCATTTTAATTCCCTTTAAAAGTTGAAATGTTAAAATTAATTAATCAATATATTTTGTATTTGTATCTGTAGTTAGTCATCAGTTCATGCCATTTATGTATAATTAGTATAATTATTTAATAAGCACTTTCTATTTAAGGAAAAAAAATCTATTATTTTAAACTATTAACTTCACACAATTTGTCTTTATATCAATTTTGTTACATAATTTACAAAGGCAAAAATGCTATTGTGAAGATAAGGTCTTTTCTAGTCTATTTCTGGTCTGGCCAGACTCACAATGAAGATTAACAAAATGAGGCAATATAACACTTAGACAATGTACCAAGGGAAGGAATGTGTCTGGAGAGGAAATTTTTGTTGAAAACCAACCCCTATTTAGGTGTTAGATGCATAAAGAAAAGCCAAAAACTCTACATGGCCATTCCATTGGCAAAGTACAATTCCACAACACACTATTGGCATTTAGCAGTTTCACATACTCTAAGGAGACGCCATCTGTAGAAAAACAGAACTCGACATATCCAAATCAAAACACCCATGAAAACTGCTAACGTTCCAACTTGGACTTCAATCATAATTTTGTCAGATTAATAAGCTCAACACTTTATTCAATTTACATTATTTATAAAATTTCTCAATAAAAATTCACAAAATTTCATAATAGCACATTAAGATTATACGACAACCACAATTTAAACCATTATGGGTAAACCCAGTGGCTTAGCGTAGTGGGGGTGGCAGGGGCGGCAAAATTTCACAATAAATAATATCTTGTAAAAATTTGAACCATTTCATTTCATATTTTTGTTGCACCTATGATTCGGACCGATTGAAATGAGCATGGAATTTTTCATTATTTATTCTGTGATGAAACTGAATTTGTCTTTTAAATTGAGATACCTAAATAAGGGAGCAGTGAAATTTTCCTCCGCCCCAGGCGACTGACACCCACGCTACGGCACAGGGTAAACCTGACGTGCAACAGGCAATAACACTAATACTAAGTAAGAAATGATGCCTGAAATTATAATCCGCAACAATCAATTCGTAATTATATGTCATTTACCTTTTATTTTGTATCTATGATAGCTAATTTGTTGGCTTCTCAAAGACATATTTATGGACATAAGCATCACTAATGGCAATTTACCTAATTGATTTGCAATGCAGAGTGTTATGTAAAATTTATTACCTCTCCATTAAAATAAATAAAAGTTCTTTTCTTAGAAGTGACAATTAATTGCCATGTTTCGGAGTAAGTTATGGCTTCTTTCGGAGCAAAAATCCCACATATTTCTAGTGCTTCCCGAGGTTTCAATAGTCCATTCTGTACATTTAGTTTGAATATCTGTGGTGATCCGGGATCCACTTCTTGACTTTTCTATATTAAATAAACACATAAGACAACTAGTTAATAATTATTATAAAACTATTTTATATTAAACAAAAGTAAAACAGGTAACTTAAATAATCGTAAGTTTTAATCATAAAAATATATATCAATTTGCTTACTATTTAATTAAAATTTTTAATAAAACATACTTAAAGATGAACTGACCAAAAAGTACAAGTGTATGCATGAAACATAACTTTAATTCCCTACAGCCCTGTAAGAAATAAAGTTGTTTCATACACTTGTACCATTTACATTCCTGACTGTTATAACATAACAGGGAAAAGTATTGTAATTATCTCAAATTTTTACCTTTTAGGCTATAGGGAACCCATTCTTAATCAGTAAATTCTGCCCCATCGGTTCGTCTCACCAATTAACCAGTCCAATATTTCCACAAAAAAAACTTTATTCCACTCTCAGGGATCGTTACTTCGCACACCCTCTCCCTCTCGTGTCCCGAATTCCTCTCTCCGAAAAATTCCCTCTTCCCACCTTTTCTTCCCTGGTCTTAACGGCCCCCTCATTAGTGTGTGTCGATGGATGAATCACATCTGCCCCAACGAAAACCCCCCAGAGAAGGAGGACAAGAAGGTCCGATATCACTACACAGGCTATCACAATATAATAATGTAACTGTCACATTTGACCCTCTGGGTTTTTTGCAAATCTTGATGTTTTGAGACTTCCTGAACCCAAAAACATCAAAAACAGGAGAAAAATACTGTAGCCATGAAAATAAAACTGCAGTTTCAAAATTTTTGATTTGTCTGGTCCTAAGATATAATGAAAAATAAATGCCGAAACACACACAATTTTGTAATTGTCATTTTCAGGAGAGAAATCATATGATAATCAAGAAATAAATTAAATATATGATTTAAAACTTTGTTTGAATCATACATTTCTTAATTATGCAATAGATAAGGCTAGCATAAAATTCAGTCTTATGCCACAATTTTGTTTGTATATGGTAAAAATGAAGTCACAAATGGTTGAGGCTTAACAGAATCATAAATGTTGATCGTGTAAAATTATAATGAACTCTTAAATGGGTTTGAAGCAATAGAAGTTCAATCAAGTAGATAAGTAAAATTCTACATATATAGCAACTGATGGGTTATTTTGCAGTTTTCTAGTGGCCAATATTTCAGCCACGTAGGTTCAGACTTGTAGTTAAATTATCTTAGAAATTTAATTAGTAATTCTGTTTTAAATGCCAAACTAGTTTGTCATTATTTATAATATATGGTGCTTTAATTTGGTTTGGACCATGAAAAAGAGCATTATGGAAAAAAGTTTCAAAATTCACCACTAGCAGTGCCACATAGAATCTGTCAGTCAGATTTACAACATTCATTGTTGCAAATAATTAGCTAATTCAGACAGAGACAAATTTAATTACCAGCAATTTTAAAGAAAACTGTAACCATAATTCTTAACTATAGTATGTATGATTTCATTGGATCGTTGCATGCTGCAGTTGAGAATAGTATCTTACAGTATCGATTGCCAGTTTTTAACCACAGCTGCCATGTCAAACACATTTCTGATTGGTACTAATGGCCTGAAGATACCTCTATCAGCAATGTTTCATTCCAGCAGTGCTTTGCTCACAATTATCCATATTTAATAATAGGATAAGCATTTTTCCACATGTTATTGTTGAAATGAATTTCTGAGAGCAGTTAGAAATGTTTTAAAGTTTAATTAAAAGAAAATCAAACTTAAATAATTAAGTATCAAAATTTTTGTTCCATTTTAAACATATTTGTATATCTAATGCAAAATTTATGTTGATATTATTACCATGTCTGCCTGACGAGAACATGGATAAAGCATCCAGTGAATACTATGCTTCTTCAAATTCCTAATCGTAAACATCGTCTCTGGAAAAAATTAACTTTATATTAATTTGTTATCATAATAAATTCAATAATTTTAAACCTGTTACTTACGTGATGACAAACCAACTTCTGTGGCCGGAAAGTCAATTTTTTCTGGACAATACACAGCCAACTCTAAGAGAGTTCCATTTACATCACTTGCATCCAGCAATGTATCTATGTGAGAGTATTCTTCACACGAATTATCAGCATCGTATGAGTCCTCTTTCACTATTCTGATGGCAATAGCCTACAAAAATAAAATAAAAATGTTATATTTTTATTTTTAATGGTAGAATTCTTGAGATTACATTATGCAAATAAAATATAAACTACATACCTTTCGAGTACCATTACATTCAACCGTAACGATGCCTTCTAGTAAATCTGGTCCGTTTTCATCTTTGTATGATGAAGGGAGACGAATACAGATGTCGAGTTTGTCCCTAAGTTAATTTCAGATATGTTCAGTAAGTGTTTAAGTTTTATAATTTAATTTAATTTTCAAAAAAATTACCTCGCTAAAATTATGCCTTGCTCGGGAGCTATTACGAGAATACCAAGAGTACTGATCAATCTGAACCTGAAAATTATGTATTACTTAGTTAATTCTTCAATAACAATTGTCTATATTAAGAAAAATATCTAGTTTTTCAAAAAATTATTCATATGATATTTGTATAAATCATTCTTTCTTATTTCTGATATAAATCATTGTTTAGAAATCACAGTAAACCATATGCAAGGACCCAATTAATTTATTAATTAATGCAAACATCAATACAGTAAACTATAGGGCCAGCCAAAATTGCGCTCATTATGCATGGGTCCAAAACAAAATGGAGTCGGTCAGTATAGGTACAGGATAAGAAATTGCATCCTAAACCATAGTAATGATACATCATGAGTATCCAGAATAGGTTCCAATCTGGAACCTCATAATTTATCTCTACTGTGAAAGGCCAAACTCTTACATTGCAGACATCTGATTTTAAACTCATAACAATAAATGCAATAAAAATCTAATAATTGTAATCATGATCAAACAGTTAATTAAATATTTAAAATTAACAAACCTTAAATTATCGTCAGACAGATTTATAAACTGCAATTTTGCAACGCGCTTTGCCTGACCAAGTTCAACAGATGACGGTTCCACCATCCACATTTGTCTGTTTTCGTTCTCTTGCTTTCGATCTTCCAAAATATAGTTTTCGGTTTTAGATAAAAGATTGTTCGAGAGTGATAAATTCTTAACAGGATTACGGTCTGCCGTTATGTTACTCAAGACCGAAAACTGATTATTGGAACAGCCTTTCACGGGTGGAGAATACAGATTTGAAAAATTTTCCTTTTTGTTCATTCTATATAAAAATATTTACTTCCTTAATAACTTTTTTTCAAGTATATAGAATGAAAATACAATTCTACTTACAATAGTGATTCTAATGGGCTGGTTTCACTTATACTACCTAAACTCTCGTGTAATTCTGTCATATGATCAGAACTAAAGAAACTTTCTATATTATTTGAGCTGCAGACTGAAAAATTTATAAAATACCGAAATAAATTTTCATAAAAAATATTCACGTCACTAGGTGCTTCTTGGTAAACTGGATCTGAAAAGATAAATTAAAAAAAAATTATTGAATAGATCCAAATGATAAAATTGTAGTATGCTGAAAAACTTTGGTATTACCTTGAGAAATTTTGGCTTCGCCAGCATATTTTGAAGTAAAGATAAAAGTGTTAGAAAGGGGAAAAGGCATGTCTACCAATTTATCAGTTTCAACAGACATAGACCTTAAAATAAATGAAGTTTATTACTTTATTTAATGAACTCATCTATAAAATTAAAGAACAAAAAAACTAACTTCAATCTCTGTCTAAGAATTTCTTCTCCATACATGATTCCAAGAATTCCGGATGAAATTTTTGTCACATTAGCAACTTCATGATTGAATACGATCACCACCATCTAAAGAACGATCAGATCAGTGAAAATCTTTGTCATTTAATTTTCCATTTTGACATATTTTACTATAAAGCTTTTGAGATGCATTCGAAAAAGGCTAGTATCTATCAAAATATTAAATCTATATAAAAACTTATATTAATAAGTGCTCTTTTGTGGCTTTAGAACACACTATAGCTGGTTCAAATCTTGATAGAGACAATTAGTGACAGGCATAAAACAAAGCCAAATCAAAATACGGTAACCTCACAAAAAGTGGGAATAATAATGCCAAAGCATAAAAAAGAAGCTGTTGTTGTCTTATAGAAAGTTGCCAAAAATATATTTGTAATAAATAAATAAATATATTTTTGTATGTGGACTTTATGCTTGTATTCTGTAAGGAAGAGGCTTTAACAAAAACAATTGATTACCAGATTTTCTTGTGGTTGAAGAACAAATTCCGAAGGCTGCACACTCATCACACTAGTCGGAACCAATTGAGTCATTTTATTATCTAAATAAATAATATATTTTAAAAAATTTAAGTCGATTCTTATGATTATAGCAAACATTTAATAATCTAAATATTTTTACCGGTATAACATAAAACTTTGACGAATGCTGCTCTTTCTCCATTGTTAACTAACGTAAAATCTGTCAGAGTTATATTAGAATATTCCGGTGCAACTTGGCTTTGTATCTCGAAATAATAGCTGCCATCTTCGTGTCTGTCAATACCTTGAAGTGTCAGTTTGCAAATGCCACCAAATCCAGTCAGAGGAAACTAAATATTTCAAAAATTTTATAATGTAATAATCATTCTGTACTTTGGTATATTATAACAAAATTAAAGTTAATCAAAGTTAAAATAATTATAAAGATAATTTTTAAGAAATGAAATTTATATTTACTACACAAAAATTTGCTAAATATATTACTTTAAAAATAATTTATCAATTCATTAATGATGGTTATTTCTTTGTAAATGTGATATCAAAGCTCTCAAATAATCGAGCATTGAATTTCATATATTTCCTCATAACTTCATTCTTCATCAGAAATATTGAAAAACAAAAAGAAAATGCTACACAATTTGGGGAGTTAAAATAAATTTTCCAATTAAATAATTTTTGAGACATTATGTATGCATCGCGTCATCATAACCAACCAGTTTATATTTATGTTTTCAAATAAAGAACAAAATAAAATAAATTGTAAATAGAAACCATTAACAATTATTCAAATTTGTTATTGCGTTCTTTTGGCAAGTATCAAACTGCATTCAATACCGGAAAATTCTTGCCGTCTTGTTATGCCAGAATCCCAAAATTGTTTCTAACCAATTCCTGACTCTGCCGCTTCTAGAATTCTTAGTAGTTTAAGGTGGCTTCTTGTCTGCCAAAGTACTGTACATGCTGGAGATGTTGACGGTACTCATTGAAAAATTGCCTATATGTGCTGATATAAATATTCATTTATAACAACAATGATAAAATTACAATCATGACAAATAAATAATCATTTTTCTCTCTTCTGCCATTTTAAATGTGCCAACTGCAGATAACATTTGAAGATATTTGGAATAATTTTTCACACCTTCCTAGCCAATTAGATTTCTTTCTTACTGTTCTGCATTACCAAACACATTCCTGTTTATCTTATTCAAGCATTCAAAAAAGACAACAGAAATGGTATGATGCTTCAGAGGATCTCTAATTACTGATCAGTCATTTTTTTATAACTATACTCTTAACTATTGTTTTGGTATGACTAGTTTCACGATATCCATATTGAACAGCATCAGTAGAAACAAACACACTTATCTTTAATGTGGTATAGAAACAAGTCAATACGATTAATCAGATAAGAACTAATTTAAGAAGGTTAATTGTACTATTTAACATAATTTTAACACTTATTAAACACAGTTAACATCTTTTCAATAACTTAACCAATATTTAATCAAATAATCAAATATAAAAGTACATTTATCTCATTGATTGATTAAAGATGAAATGTTTAAGTAGAAACAGACTTCTTACATTTGAAAACAGATGTCAAGTATATTGCAAAAATCTCAAAAGAAGAGGCCTTGCGAGATGTCAAAGTTTGATCCACAACATCTCAGAGAATGCAGATTACAGTTAACAAAAGTTGGAACCATATTAATAAAATAATAATAATAATATACAACTTCTTTGATTACCAAAAATTATTTATTAATACAAAAAATGGTTTTGGTTTTGCTGGAGCCATCATCTCTGTTAAGATATGTTTTAAAATACAGTATAACCTCCGAATAGCAGACACCATCAAGATCAAGACATTTGCCACTGGGAAGTACATACCGACAGCCATACTGTATTTTAACGTGGTTGTCATATAGTGAAGAATATGATGGATTATGAAAACATCAGATTTGAGTTAGGAATGTGAAAATACCAAAAAGTATACATAGTGTGTATAGTTAAAATATAGGCTAAATATATACAGGGTATAATTTCTTTTTTCAGCTGTAAAAATCTAATTTTAGTTGAATACTAAGTAGCAAACAGATTGAACAGGTTACTTTAATTAAATGGAACATAAAAATTAGTCACCTGAATGAAAAATTATCAACCTGAATGAAAGTAACAAAAAAGAAAAATGAAACTGTTATTATGAACAGAAGGGTGGACAAAGGTTGGTTTAGGTGGTGAGAGTTTGCATGTCCCGTTACGAAGGCAATTTGCTACCCACTTCAAGGGGTAAGAAATGTCTTCAGTATTAGTGCATTTATAACATTGTTTACAATCTAAGCAACAAATAAAAATTGATATAGTGATTTGTCAGCTTTGTAGTTATCAAATAGGTATAATTTTTCGAACATTTTTGCTTTTTTTCAATAACTGATTTATTAAAAATTACATTCTAGCCACCACAAAGCTGTTAAGATAATAAATTATGTCATAAATGTGTAAGAACCAAATATCTTCCTACACTTTAAAGTGGCCAGCAAATTGTCTTCATAACACAATCTTTGAACTTTCATAGATAAGTGCTGTTGTCGTAACCTTAAAACTGTTTCTTTTTCATTACTACTGTGTTAGTTCTTGTCAAATGAATGCATAACTTTGGAAAAGTTTATAGTTTCCTGGTACCATAAACTTTAACAATAACACAGAAGTTTAATAACATTAATATGTACAACAATAAATGGTGATTGACAACATAACCAGATTAGTCTTCTTTAATAGATAAAGAACATTGTTCAGTTTTGTCAATGTGTCCTCCTCCCCTAATCCTATTTTAAGCCAGCCTTTATTTGATACCTATGGTCAAAATTAGTCATCTGAAAGAGTATTTGAACAGACTTTCTGTTTTTGTTTTAAAATATTTCATATGCAATTAATTCTTTCAGAATAATGAAGATAGGATTTTCTTTTCATAAGATAGATTATGGACAATGGTGTCTGTTATTTAGAGGTAAATATTTGAAGTTTAATGGTTTCCAGATGTTGAGAACAATGTATGGTAAGGGCACAAAGTGTGAGATTCATAGAAAAGTTTTCCTAAGAATATTCCAATCCTATTTGAAGGGCATGGGGATTGTAAACATGTCTGTTAAGTACAGGTGTCCACAATTTGGGAGTGTCCGTTAATTGAGATGTCACTTTATTTTATTTGAGTAGTCTGTTACATAAACTGTTTTTAAAAGATAGCAAATTTAAAATGTGAAACCAATGATGGTTCTAACAGAGCTGAAAATGTTTTTTGAAGAAATAATTTTTGGTAATACAAAAAAGTGGTTGTATATTATTATTCCCTTATGCCAGTTCAATTCTGATATCACAAAGTAAAGGTGGCATCTGTTACTTTGGTTATCTGGTAGGCAAGAGTCAGTTAATCATACATGATGCTTTAAAACAGAATTTCTCAAAGTGGGCGATGAGTAAATCTAGGGGGTGCTGGAGGCAGGGTATTTAACGATGACCAAAGGCAAAATTGGGGTCACTGAATGCCATTCTCTTTCCTCTGTTAAACTAATAAGAGGAAACATTGCGTTTAATGGGTTCCAGATGTTGAGAACAATGTACGGTAAGGGCACAAAGTGTGTGATTCATAGAAAAGTTTTCCTAAGAATATTTCCAATCCTTTCTCACACAAGAGAAAATGGGTTAGGGGGCGTTGGGTATAACTTTATGGAACAAAGGGGGCAATGGATTGAAAAAGTTTGGGAATCACTGCTTTAAAAGAATACCTAGACTACTTACAGAATAATGAAATTTATTCTGTTCTTGCGTTATTGGCTTGACATATAATGTACCCTTGACTACCGACACTTTTTTTGGTGCAAAAACCACCTTTATCGTTATTGTTTCTAAAGGCAGCAGAGTAACGTCTGACTTCTTTAATAAGTTATCTTCTAGCTACAAATAAAAGTAAATATTACAAGATTGCTTCAGGTGTTTAATCTTTTGAAGATATAAAATTCTATCTTAACTCACCTGAAAAGAAGAATCGCCTTTAATAAATAATTTTAACTGCACCATATTAGTTGGAGATGCATTTCTGAGTATTAACTTCTTACACCTTTTGAGAAAAATTTTTTATTTACTTTTTTGACAAAATAACGTATAATATTCAAAAAGTTATATGTTAATCATACTGCTTATCTCCTATAGCAACTCCTCCCCATGTTAAGTAATGAATGTTACCATCTAAAACTATTGGACTGTTATTGTAATTTGAATCCATATAATTTTTTCTAGTAATGTCCCTTCTTTCTTTCTTCTTACAAATTCCTCTAACTGTTAATAATTCATACACTTCGTTTTCAAATTTAGCTTGCAAAATACTGTAAAAAATGGAAAAATATTCAGATTTGTCCAACAGAAAAGATTGAAACAAGTTAAAAATTCCTTACTTTTCTCGGATTCCGATATCGTTTGGGCAAAAAGATAATTGAATCTTCATTCTTTCTCCCTGGTTCGTTTCTAAAGTATGAGGAAGCACCTTAAACTCGCATTCGGGATCTTTAAAATTTAAATTAATTACTCCTGAAACACTGCCTTGATTCTCTAGCAAAACTGATTTATGAATCTCATATTTTGGCTGCGTTTCCATTATTATTCCCTGGAATTAGATTAAGTTATAGAATTAAAGATGATTTTTTAAATGGAGAATAGAAGTTTTTATTAGTTATTAATAGAATTATTTAAAAAATATAAATATCTTGTTTATAATTCCAACTTTTGCTTGAATTATTTAATTCATTTTTAGTAATTATTTTTGATAAATTTATCCAAATGGAAAAAACTAATGATTTTGAAAATGACACTTTGCTTTACTAATATTAAGTTTCATCTAATAAATACACAGATATTTACCTGATTTGATTCTTTAATTACAAATTTCACAACTCCGACTTCGGCAAACAGTCTGATGCTTCCGAGAGCTTCATAAATAACCGAACTTTCCAAAGTTGCATTTAATATTGCCGAAACTTGCTCTAAGTTACCTATTTTCACATCAAACATGTTAATTATTTTAAAGTTTTTATCAATTTATTGCAGAAATAAGATACAATTATACCTTCTTTTATTTTCTCACTCTGAAAAATGAGGGGAAATTCTATCCCTTCTGATGTCTGTTGACTTTCCTGCGGAGTCAATCGACAAAATAGAATTTTTGAAGAGAGAAAATGCCAGACCGAATTGCAATGCTTGGATTCATTAGTATTTACTTCTTGAACTCCAAAGGAAAATGAATGATTGCAGTGAAAATCCTATAATAGTTTATAAATATTATATGTTTTTAATATCAAACCATATGCCATTTAATAATAAATTAAGAAAGGTAATTACTTCTGAAATTTGTAGACGTATAGGAACAACTGCAGTGCCATGATTTACAAGTTTAACTGAACGAATCACACTTTGACATTCAGGTACGGTTCCAAAATTAGCTCCCCGATTCATTAATATAGATACTTTCGGCCATTCTACTTCCGCTGTTATAACTGCAGTCAACGGATAGCCAAATACAGGTGCAGATGAATCTGTATTTACTTCCAGAACAGCAACAATATTTCCTTTCTGACGAGGTATATAATTAATCTACAGAAAGATGAAGTATTTTACAAAACATAATTGTAATTAAATAAGAATGATAAATAAGTCAATTACATGAATTTTCTTTGTTGCACCCGATTCGATTTGCACATGTTGTGGAAAAACAAATCCAGAAACACTAGTTGTAGGCAGTACTTTTTTATCTATTGTTACACTCACATCTAAACTACACAGGAGACACGAGAGAGTGGGATTCTGCAAGATGAGTATGAACTGTTTAGTGTCACCGACACAAATTGGTTCAAGCAATCGCAGTTCCACCATTCTTTTGTGGTTCGTATTTGCGGCACCTGTATGATAAATACAAAATTGTCAATTTATGCTATGGTTGATGCAAAAACAAAAATTAGTTAAATATTAAAGAAACATTATAGTTTAGTTTATTGATAGGTAGGCCATTTCAACCAAGCTGCACCTTGCCTTATGGTAATTAAATAAATAAATAATCTACAAATAATTTGTGACATTCAGTCAATCACTGCATGTCCAATTTTTAGAGTGCAGTCACATGCTTGAGTAACCAATCAGTTCTCCTCAGTACTCAGAAGTACTGATGACTTGGCCAAGTATGTTACTCCATATATTTGCCAGTTTTTTCTTAATTACTAGTTTCAAGTTAGTAGTTCAATAGACATTGAATCCCCAGAAGAGATAACAGACTAATATCAGTTAATTAATTTCTTCTTTTCCTAAAATAGTATAACTTGAAATGTATATAGTATAGTAATGTAATAACTGAAAATAGTATAGCTTAATAATGTATGAGCTCCAGAACTACCCATATTTATATTATAATCACATTGTCTGTATGATTTTAAATATAATTAGATAAATACTTAATAAGAATAATTGTTAAGCTCCACATAGTTAGAAAAGTAAATTATCGTCTTACCTGAAACAGTTGATGTCGGACACACAGAGTTGTTAAACTGCAACTGATTAGTATTCATAAAATTAATTGAATTGTGTGACTCTAGAAGTGAACCATGACAATAATTGGTAATTCCATGACTTGTGAAACAGTTTGTATTCATGGTAACCGGCATGTAAGGAGTTGGATGGATGGACGTTATGGGCGTGCCGTACGGAATGGCCATAGGAATCGTAGATGATAGCACACAACTAGTAGGTGCACACTTAGAGTACTGATGATTAAAGACATTAGAAGGATGATAAGAGCAAGAATGTCCACTTAAATTTGAATTTGCAGTTGTATATAATAATTGCGATTCTACAAGCTGCGTAGTCTGACTGTTATTCTCAACTTTAGGAACCAAATGAAACAAATTCTTCCTATCTTCTTGTGATAACTGAAGAGGAGAGGTTGCTGCTTCCACCTTACCAGATGAATTTTTAGATATTTCTACTTTTTCTACTGACAAATTCATGTCTGGCACCGTCGTTAGTGTTTTGTCTAAATCCTCTTCAGAAGTGTTGTGTATTGGTGCTTCTAAAGTTTTATTTAAATCAATTTTTGCATTATTTTCAACAAAATAATCAACTGGATGATGAAGATTGGTATCTGAAACTGTTCTTTCTTTACTTAAACTTGTCAAATTATCATTCTGATTAGATTCAAATAAAGTCTGAGCAGAATAACTTTTTCTAATTAATGAATTAGAATTACTGATTTTTATTTTTGACTTAGAATTTTCATGAAGTTTCTGTAATTTTTCTACATTATTATTAAGAGATTTTTTCTTAGAATGCGAATGCTTAGATTTAGTCAGACTCATAGTTTTCGATTGCGTAGATGATGACGATGAAGATAATTCCTGATTAGAATTAGTTTTGATTAAATCTGAGTGAATGCCAGAATCCTGAGATGACAAAAACATACTTCTTGATCGAGAGACTTGAGATTTTAAAGCCTTTCTTTCTTCTTTATGAATTTTTTTCTTAGATTTTTTTGCATTCATATTTGCTAGGAATCTTTCAGCCAATTCTTTTGGATTATCGCTGAGAGATGCTTCAGATATTAACTTAGAAATTGATTTGATACTCAGGACACTGTTGACGCTTGAAGTCTCTCTTTCTGAATCACTGTCAGATACCTGTGGTGAATTATTAGCCGATATTCGAGGTAATTCGATCTGAACATCTAAAATAAAAACAATTTGCAAGCTGAAACATTGAATATGTTAAATATAATAATAAGTAAATTGACAAAGTAATTTACCTTTGATTTCTGATTGTTTCAAATTATTTTTGGAATCACGAATAGTGAAATTAGAACCAAATGTTGGCTAATAAAAAAAATGTTTATTATTAATTATTATTGAATATTTTTAATTTTTGACAGCTAAGCTTATCTAAAATTTATTTTGGCTAAAAAATAATTCGGTAAATTATAGAATTTGGTCTAAAAGTAGGCAATTAAATAAATATTTTGTGCTAGAATTAATAATTAAAATTTTATATTTAATTAAATTTCTCTTATCTTACATCCTTTTGTAAAAGGTAGCAGCAGCAGTTGCACCAACTTATAAGGTACAATTAGAATTAATCAAATTAATTGCAAATCATTAATTACCCTTTCAGCATTTTCTCCAGAAAGTGATCCGAGAGCTTCCGTCTTTGCTTGCATAAACCGTCCAATGGATATTCGCATGTAAGACTTGTCTTCGTCAATTTTGTCAGAAAACCAAGACGGACGTGTTATGTCTTGTTTCCCCACAAAGTTCCAACTGCTATTCATACTGATCAAACTTGGATTATGGATTGTTTCTCCCTAAAAATTATAAAAATTATCATCTGGTATATCTGGTATACATACTGCATTGGTCTGAATATTAGTTAACATTTTTTCTGTTTTAAAAGATCAAAATATTCCTCTTGACTTATATTTGACCCTCAACTTATATACAAGTCCAATTAGTTTTTTGTTAGATTTTGATCATGTACATTATGGATTGTTATACCCACAATACAGAGATCAACCAATGGTAAAATTCAGTGCACTGACTATTTAGCAATGCTAGAAGTTGGTCAACTTAATTCCCATACATGTAAGATGGACCATAAGTGTTTAGCATGATTGTAAATAATTGAACAGTTGATTGTTTTTGAAGGATCAATCAAATTAAGCTGATCATTTTTGCTGTATTTGGCCAAATTGGGCAGTTTTGGTATAGTCTACAGAAATTGTATTTTGATAAATTTTTTATTTTTTTCCACACATCTTTACTAATAAAGCAACTGTGAAAAATTGGGGAAAGGTCACTAAAAATTTATTCTGTTGAAAAGTATAAATTTCTGTTAATCATGTCAAATACACAGATTTATAATTACAATTAATAATTTATAATTACAATTACAATTTATAATTACAATTATAATTTATAATTAAAGAATTTATAAAATGTTTTAAATAATTATAGAAAAAGTAAGAAATAATTATTGAAAAATTCATTTTTAAAGGTATATATAACTTTCTCACCTTACCCACATTCAAAATTTCCATATTCTGTCGTAGCTCCTGTGTAAACTAAAAAGTCCCAAACATATCCTATTCATGATTTGCAAATTTCAAAGCTTTTTACTCCAAAACAAGCACGCTTGCTCAGTATATACTGTCAAAATCCCAGTCTGCCTTTCCATAACATAAGACTTTTATCTAAACACATATTTTCATCTGGGATGTAAGCATATTTGAACCGTGGCAAAAATGATCAATAGCACTGTGTAATTTATGCAATTTATCATCATCACCTGAGGCTTGATTACTGTCTGTAAAATGCAAACATGACAATAAAAGCAGAAAGCAGTTGCTCAACATTGCACTAAAGAAAAAAATGGTGTAGAAAAAATCATCTTCAATTGTAAAGTACATACTTAGGCACAGTTTTCTAATGATATTTGAGACCATAATAAGTCCTATAAATTTTCTAATTTTTGGGTTTTTTGTCAGTTTCCAGTTTTTTATACGAATATTTTCCCATAAATCATCACAGTTCATCAAATTATCACCTTATCTGTTCGTTTCTTCTACGATCTTGTCGACAAGTTCATCATTGAAAAATACAATAAAGTCAAATGGTGAAGCGTCACTCTGTAAATTACATTGGATTCCTGCTTATCCTGTGAAACTGTTTACTTGAGGGCTTCTGAAGTTCGTACAGATCCAACCATCATCGATACTAAATCACAAACGTTTTGTACTATTATTTCCTCGAGTACAACTGCGTGATTGGCCTCTGTATCCATTTGTAGTTGGTATTTCGCGATCAATATCACTACTGCCATCACTTACATTTTCATTTTGTATATATTTGTTGTTGCTGTCTGAAAATTCAGACTCATCAGAACCTAAATTAAATAAATATTCAATCATTTCTGACTTATTCAGAGCGCTATTTCTCCCAGCCGTTGCCATGTCGAAACAGAGACAAACTAACGGTCTACTTTCCTGTATGATTTCTTGTAAACAACTATTCCTATTATTGTAATATCCTGTTGTGCAAAAACTACATAACATAACAATTCTTTTGATATGAGTCACTAATTTCAGAATTCCATACAAGTAACAACACCTGATGTTTAAAAACATTCTGATGCAGAAACGAATATATTTGGGGTCAACACGAAAATACTCGGGAAAAATAATGAGAGCCATTTACAATGAAAACTTAACTTTATGATTATTATATTTTGTGAAATTGCAGAAATATTCATTATTAGTCGGTCTATTGCTAATATCGTCTTTAAAAAAATTTTTAATTAAATTTGAAGAAAATATTACCTCAAACATATGGGCTTCCTCAAAATCTTTTTCATCCTTAGCTAACATTTTTGCAGCTTCATCTAAAAGAAAAACAAATTTACAAGATTAGAACTCTTAACAATTAACTTATAACTTATTATCAACAATTTTAACATCGAAGAAGTCAGAGAGAGAGAGAGAGAGAGAGAGAGAGGTTCCAAAGAATGTAGAATATTATATATCTGAAGATGAAATTTAAAGAATGTAAAAAGCTAAGAATTCAAAGAGATCTTTGGTGATTAAGTACTTAAAGTAACAAATAACTTATAAATAAATCACTTTTCTCAGACATAAATTAAATATATTACCTGAAGGAAAAAATTCTTCGGAGTTTAACAGAGCAACTTTACTAAAATCGCCATCGGAGAATAAACCTTCATTAAATTGTTTCTTTAAATCAGTTTCAAATGCTAAATCTGTAACATAATTTCCTTCTTCTGTTGGATAGACTACAGATATTTCATTCTCCTTTTCAGCTTTTCTAAGTGGGGCGCTCTTTCTATATTTAGCCGAACCTAAAACACATATTATAATTATAAAATTTATAATTTTAACATGAACTTAACATTATAATTCCTTACCTGACAAACCCAATTTTGCAGAAATAATGGAAACTATATCTTCATCATCTTGTTCTTTAAGTAATGTATTTTGTTTAGCTGCATTATCAATTGTAGTAGATTGCAGTAGATTAGGAAGATTATTTAAATTTAACCGTTCAACATCTAATATATCCGAAATTGGAGATTTTCCTCTCTCTATAGACATTGTGAGATTTTTATCTAGTCCCCATGTATTTTGCTCATTTATGTAAGTCCCATATGATGATGATCGCAAGGTAATTTGATCATCCCTAAAATTAACCTGAATAAAGCAAATAATTTGTTTGAATTCTTTTATATTTTATATAGAATGACAATGTTATAACAACCTAACACAATCAAACTTTTGAATTAATGCTATAAATTACTGATTACAATTCATGACTTCTCACCAAAGATAAATATAAATTCCCACAAAAATAAATAAAATATACTATTAAAATTAATTTTATTGAACTGATTATTATTAATATTAAATTTGATGTTTTTAAACATGGTTGACAGCTGCCAAGATTACTTGCCAGTATATTATTAGAGCTTATGCATCAAGTTATCACACGCTACAATTTACATAACCTAATTAAATAGCAAAAGATTTTTAGAAATTACATTAAATGCATACCTCACTTGACGTTCTATCTAGTTGTGACGAATACAAAATGTCTTTGATAGAATTTAAACTTTCACTAGATTTTTCTATGCAAATCGCAGAACCTACAGCAAATTTTTCACTGCCATTTGTATTAGTGGATGGTCGAAAATATTTTGAATTTATAACAGAAGGAGTACTGCATTCACCAGTACTCTGCAAGAAAAAGTTTAATTAATAACTTTTAAAACAAAATTAACAAATTCATATAAGAATAAAAATAAATACTTACATTTTCTCCCAATACATTTGAAGCAAAACTGTGATAAAAAAAATAATAATAAAATAATCAAATACAAAAAAACTAGAATATACCAAATTAAAATGCATAGAAATTAAAATTAATAGAAATAAAGTCAATCAATCGACACTTTTCCAGAGCATCAGCATGCTACTCTGGAAGACTTAACCACTCAGCAGTGACTGATGGATATATCTGTCAAGAGCAATCATGTGGCACTGTTAAACAACAGATATATCCGCAAAATTCTTTTGTGGATACCACCAAAAACTACTGCTAAAAAAAATTCACATAAAAAAGGAATTATGTAACAATAAAAAAAGACTTTTCTTTACTAGACATAACTGTTTATAAAATCTTTTTCCGAAATGGTAATGAGAAAAAACACGTGGGAAAATACTTTAAAAATTTCCCACATTTATTCTCCACTACATAGGGATAGCACCATACGTGACTAACCCACTGCTGAAAGGTTAAATTTAAGTTTGAATCAACTGAATAATTTCATTTAAATGAACTTTCTATCTTGTGAATAATATAGAGAAAATCATAGAATATAAACTGCAAGACAAGAAACATTCTGATTTAACAATAATAATAAATTAAGACTTTGCTCTAGGGCAAGACATCTTAATCAGATGATGACTAAACTGTGGATTGCAATCTCCTTTACTTGTCAAAATTGAATGTACAGGTTTCAAAAAAATTTGACAACAGTAAAGTGTTGTATTAAGTGTTTATGCAAAATGGAATTTTCAGCATTGAGAATTACAAAATCAAATTGTGGATCAACTCTGAAATGTGTCAAAGATATCCCATGTCCTGCAGTATGAAATATTCAGCCTAGATTTAATTCTTTGTGTAAAAATAAACAAGCACATCATTAGTATGCAAATTTGCTTTTGTCTTTAATAAATGATAAAATAATATGTAATTCAAAGGAGTGGCTTGGAATAAACTGCTTTACTAAACACAGTTTGTTTTCTGTTGAAGAAGAATTAAACTAAGAATTGAGTGGAAGTTCTAGCAAGTTAATAATATTGTTTTAGGAGTTATCTACATTGTTCAGTGGACATCAGTGCTGCAATAGTGACAATACTTGCAAAAGAAACTGAACAAGCTCATGCTAGAGACCTTGGACACTTGGACATTGTTACTTTGACCCAACTGGATCTCAAAAATAAATTCTAGGACTCCTGATTTTTATTACATTTTTAATTTCCTAATCTCATGTTATGAAAAACACCAAAGTTTAACCAAAATTGAGCAATCAAATTTTGAAAACAAACTCAATTCTATAAACTACATAGAAGAAGCTTTGCTAATGCTCAATGATTTAGTATCAATAAGTGATTTTATTTGTATATATATTTTTACTAAAGTTCACACAAAATTTTCTCAAGTTAAAGCAAGTCAAGAATGGAAAAGTTTAAAATGCCCTGTTCTAGAATAATTGAAGCTTGAAAAGTGTTGTAATATATATAACTCTATAGACAAAAATAATTTTAATTAAAATGCCTCAATGTCCTTTTTCTCTAAAATATAAATTTTTGTCTATAATAACATATCTTCTATTACCAGGACTTATTATACTGGTATTACAGAAATATTACAAAGTTTTACAGAAAAACATTTTTTATTTTACTTAATATACCTGTATATTAAGTATATTAAGTAAAATAAAAAATGTTTTTCTGTAAAACTTTGTAATATTTCTGTAATACTTCTGAAATACCAGTATAATAAGTCCTGGTAATAGAAGATACGTTATTATAAACAAAAATTTATATTTTAAAAATAATTTTACTTGTGTTAACATTTAATCAATTAGATGAAATTTACATTTGAAATTGTTTTATTCAGTTTAATGAATGTCACATTAATGATTATTTTACATAAAAATATCAAAAGCTGTAATGCAAATAAAAGAATAATCAAAATTTATACCATAATACATACCTAATTTTGTGCACATTCTCCTTTATTTCTGTAACAGATTCTGGCCTGCTTCCTAATAAAAAAAATTCAGATGTTTATGTTTTTCAAAGAAAACGTCTTTAAATTATCAATTAAAATTATAACAAATTTTAAAGATTCCCATTTGTTTAAATTAAAAAAATTGAATATACCATTTTTTGAAATTCTGTAATTTATAGACTTTTTTAATAAGTCAAATTTTGATTTATCAGTTCCAAATTTTCCTAAATTTAGACTAGAATATTTATGTAATTGATTATTTATAGGAATAGCCTCCTTGTTTTTATCATCATCTAAAAGGGACAAGAACAAAAGAGTAAATTAAATGAATATAAATTTAAAATTTTATAAAATTTCAAATGTAAAGTAAAATTACCTTCATTCTCCTTATCTGAATCTTCAGTGGATATATCAGTATAACCTACATCGAGCAGTTTGAGTTCTTCTTCATTTAACACTATGTCGGCTAGACTATTATCGCTGTCTTCACCAAAATTATATTCTGTATCAATCTTTGAAGATACAATCTGAATTATTTTGAATTTTAGAATATAAAATAAATTAAAAAACCAATTTTACAAAATAGCTATAAAAAATTTTTATTTACCTCAATATTAATAAAATTAATCATCCAGTTCATTTTAATTAAGATTAAGATAACAAAATGCAAACTGACCTCACAGATATAAATTTATTTATTTTTACTGCAAATTAGATATACAGTAGAGCATCGTTTATCTGAAAGCTGGTTATCCAAAAGCATTCCAGTCGGCAAATTTAAATTTTTGCTAGTGCTGTGGCGCTGCAATCTTTGGCTATTTCTTGGGTTACTCAAATATTTTACGTTTTTGATACTAAATTAACATCTGAAGTATAATTTTTTATTGTTTTTATATTTTTCAATATATTTATTTTGTTTGTATAAAATAAAAAAATAATTTTTAACGATACAATAGTCTTCGTTAGGCTTAACATCGACGAAAATTCAACAAAAAGCGACACGCAACTGAGAAAAATTTCAACGTGGGATAAATTAATATATTTTTTCGTACATGATTCGTTATCCAAAAAATAAGTTATCTGAACCACCCCAGTCCCCAATTGATTCGGATAAACGACGCTCTACTGTACCTCATTCTTCACACAACTATTAAAAAAAGCAATATTTTCCTCTGATCTTTCAATGTAATTTGCATTGCCTCATTTTCAAAAACTAATCTTTGGTGGTCCTCTCCCCTTTTTTTTAACTTTTGGGTGATGTGCATGACAACATGTCAAGCAATCTTGTTTTTAGTTTATGCTGCAACACCACAAGTGCTAATTCCTCTCACAATTATCATAAAAGTGTCATTTCTTGCTCAAAAAAATGTTTTGTTTTTAAGAAAAAACTTATTTTATTGTTTACTGTACACTTCAATAATGTATCATATTTTATATCATTTCTTTATTAATGTTTTTAACATTCATATAAAGTAAACAAAAATACATAAAATATTTTTTGGCACAAAGCTAGGGACTTTGCTCCCTGTGGAGGCAGCAAACATGTTAATTAAGTAGCATTATTTATGCATTGCAGAAATGTATTATACATAGCATATAGGTGTGTTTACTTATCATTAAACTGCTACTTAACTTTAATATGTACAATAACCTGATAAAAATTTATACATGTAATTAAGAGAATTAAACAAATTTTGCATAATAATTACCTTATCATCTTTGGCACAAACTATTGATTTCTCTTTCTGTTTTGGCTGAGTAGTTTTAGTCGAGCGGCTATTCGTATCTAAAGGAATAACACTTCCGCTAAAATCTAGAAATAAACTCAATATATAATTCTTCAATATTACAATTTCCTTTAAATTATATATTTAATTCTCACCATTTAAACTATCTAATGAAATTATACCTAATGATGAATTATTTGTTAGACATTCATTTGAAGTAGTGCTGCTTGTATTTCCTTTTATATCATGATGCATATCAGTATTATGAGCCATTTCTAAGTTACATTGACTTTCAAATAAATGTTGAAGGACACTTGAGAGGTGCTGTTGTTTCAGAAAGTTATCTTCTCTGGAAAAATATATTCAAATTAGAATAATAACAATAATAATTTTTTTTATTATTGTGTGGCAAATTAATGGCAAATATTCACATTACAATATTTGTCATTAATTTTTCCCAACCAATAACTGTGATTTTGTAATGCGGTAAATATATTTACAGTAATATTCTCTATATTATTAAAAAAAATTACAACAAAACATGAGATGTTGGATTGATTTCTCTACCTCTCTCTAGTTTTCACTTTAGTTCTATGCTTTGCTGTCACTAAGGCCGCGACTCCGCTAGCGTAAAAACAAGCGTAAAAATGGGCATAAAAACCCTCGCTGTAAAAACTTTTAATCACATGACCTATTTGCATTTGGATTGCGGTGGAGGTCTGGCTACAGTGCTGCACAAAGTGTCAAAAGTAAATGCACATGAATTGGTGGAAATAGAAGACAGTTGTATACATATATCGATATAAGGACAATGATTATATTCTACACGTTTTTCTTCTGTACTATAATTACAAATGTAGTAAAAATAATATCTTTACTTTCATATATTAACTATTATTATCATATTATTAAGATAATATACAGCACTTATAAGCTTAGCTTTTTTATTATATGCTCTTCTAAATTGAAGGATTTTCTTTTGGCAGTCCATATCACGTGTTTTAGGCATCCATTATTATAACAGGATATCTCTTGTTGTAGATACATGAATACTTTTGAATGTTTTTGATAAATCTTTCCAGATTTATTCTAGAGTAGCCACAAGAGAACATACACAAAAGCTTGTTTTCCGCCATTTTCGCACGGTTCAAAACTTCTAAGATGCTATCAAATGCCAAAAAAATTGATAGAATGGTGGAATTAACCTTTTATAGAATATGACACAAAAAAAAATATCATTTTTTAATGTTATCTTTTTTTAACAAAAAAATAAACTATTATTTTGTGAATTTATTTTGAATTTTTTCAATCTTTCTATCAGTATAATTATCAGTATAAATTTTTGGCACATTTTGCTCAATAACAAGGCCAATTACAGCTTTTGGTAGAAACAAGTTTTAGGTATTATCTATTATACATATAAATAATTTACTTTAGAGTAATTCCTATCCATTTGAATTCTAACAAAATAAAATGTTTTCTTTTCTAAAATACTGCAAGCATGCAGTGTGAGAAAATTCTGAAAATTCATCATTAAGAAAAGTCTTTCTATTAACTCTATTAAAACAGAAATGGTTTCTAGTGATATTGTAAGACAGACTGTTGTTATCAATCTTTTATGTTTTGTCATAAATGCTATGACATGTTTTTTAAATACAAGAAACAAAATATTGTTAGTTTCTGGTAACTTTACAATATTAGAGAGATACTATGTCATATCTTATAAAACATTTATGAATCTGGGTCTTAACCTTCCACAACAATTCCAAATTATTTGCAATTAGAGCATAAATACCACCTCAATTTTAATTTCTGGTTCACTTATAATACAATATTTAAGTAAGCTCCTTTAGAATTCTAAATGCATTTCATCCATGTGTGAATAGAATAAATTACTATTTGAATAATAATTAGTTGGTGAAACTGACTTGACGTCTTTCCTGACTGCCGTCGACGTGGCTTGAGGCGGTGAAAGCGACGTAAGACGAGAGACGGAAATGTCGTCTAAGAATCCTTCTTTCACTTCGTTCATCATCTTTATCAAATTTCAAGTTTAAACAGTACACAACCTGCAAATAAATAAAATGAATGATCTTAATGTTATTCATTAAGATAGTTATACTTACATTTCTATTCCTTATAAAAGAAATACACTATATAAATAATTAAATACAGATTTCATTATTTGTTTACAATTCATTTAATGTTTTCAACATTAAATAAATTGTATTAAATTAAGTAATCTAACAGTAATTTCTAATTATCATCATCATTTTAAAAAATATATCATATCAGAATACCATAAAAAAAAAACATTCAGTTACAGTTGTCGACTTTCAAATATTTCTAGATAAACTTATATAATTATAGTCGTCTCAATAAAATGGAACTACTGATTTTCTTGGAATAATCAGTCAATTGGATAAGTTCCTATCAATAAAATAAAATCAATGAACAACAAATATATCAATCAATTACTATAACACGATCAGATAATAAAACTCTTTAAAACCTTTAGAATAAAAGTTCAAAACTTTCAGCCTCCCATTTTCATCACACATTTCCTGTCCAAATTCCATATTTTGTTAAGTAACTTTTTATCTTTTAAATAACTTTCATATTTTAAAAATATTGCACAAAATGTTTTAATATTTAACCTTCATATCAGTTACAAACAACTAATGTATCATTAACTCAATTTATACCACTAAAAATTTACATTACAGGCAACTTTACAGGATACAACTAAAGTACTACATTGTGTTACATCAAAAAACACATGGACAGGGTTTGTTGGCTTTTTAATGTTTACACAACATACCAGAATAAGACTTTTCAGTCAATCTTAGCATGCACGAGCATTCATTTCTTTCAAAAGCAGTGAGAAGGCAATCTAATTTGTAATTTTGATCTCATTAGCAATTAGTTTGTCAACGCAACATGTGAAAAATCCGTCAGATTAGATTTTCTGCAGCATGAGCCCTATTTGTCAAATCAGCCATCAAGTTGAGAATTTGTTCAAAAGCAATTCTGTGCATGCATATCAGTTTTGCACAACAAAATGCAAACTTTATTATTCGTATCATGTAAACTAGCCTTAAGTATGAATAAATTAGTAAATTTTATAATAAAACAAATATCCTAAACAGTAAATTAAATATATTTTTGTTCAAAAAATATTTAATGTTTCTTTTTATCCCAAAATCATGTTTATTCAATTTACAATAATAATGTATAAAATCATAACTGTTTCTACAAAAATGAAACTTTCAATTTTGGATTTATCAATGAGAAGAAATGGCTAACCTATACCAAATATACTATTACCTAGATCGAAGCAATAGCAATACGAGTCCTCTGTCGCAGTCAGCGCACAACTGACGAATGCCATTATCTCGTCCCACCCAGAACCCGGCAATTACAGCTATACAAAGTTAATATTTAACAAGGAGAGACCGGCGAAACAAAGG